CAATTGAAACATGACAAAATAGTGACATACATATCAAACAACAGATTTGTCAACTTCGTCTAATTCCTGAAAGGTTCAATGGTCCAACTGCATGACCAAAAAATTGTTCTTTGAATACTTAGGTGATATACGAATGAGCAAAGAAAGTGGGGGTGACGTTTTGGGACCATGGTCAAACATTTTTCTATCTGATCTGCTTTTAGAAAAACCAAAACTATGAACTCCGAAGGGTGGAGGGTGGTGGCAAATTGCCTTATGACCTTAAGATTTAGGATGCCCCTCGAGGTTTCCAGTTTAAGAAAGCACTTTATAAGAGAGAACAGAATCATGCCTAAAATTTATGCAACGTTTTTAAACAATTGCAAGTAATTGTCTCCAAAAAATATTCTGAAATGTATTTTTAGCTACTCTATAGAGGATGGTCATCAAAGGTTTTCTGTTCATCCTTTTTCCACAGGGCCTCCGAAACCTCTCGGTGACACTCAGTTCCAATTAAACTGAGAATGATCCCATTTTTAACCTTTCCGCAAACTTTGTTAGAAATTTCTCATGGAGATCAAGATTCTTCACTCAAAACTTTTTAATAGAATCCCTTTTCTAATTTGGTTCTCGATCTATAACATTTCATAAGTAAAGATTTCAAATTGGTTTACCAGCATTCGAATAGTAATTACCAGCATTACCAGCACAGTTATGGAAATTCGAATAAAATCTTGAAACCCAAGAGTCAATCCTAGAATGATTCAGCATCGAAACAGCGTGATAATTATGTCATGGACATTTTCCTAAATTTGATATAATGCAAACACCAAGATTACAATTCTCCATTCCAAGCATATTACAATTTGAAGAACCATAAAATTTTTTGTCGTTGACATGGCCTCTTTTGAGAAATGCCCCACTACTGAAAAATTCTTAACAAATGCCCTGCGATTTGAATAATGCAATGATAATTCGAATTAGTTGATGTTATTCAGCTTTAGTGCAGCTAACCATGTACAATCACTCCCAAAATTACTTGGGACACCCAACACTTTGCGCTTTACTTTTCTATTTTTCATTTGTTTTCCCGAATACAACTACTTCCGTCCCCCTTTCACCCCAAAAAAATGTTGAAAGTATTGAAAAATATCATACAAGGCACACCAAAAAGCGTACTCTACATTCCCTCCCTTTTTTCTATAGTAAATCAACATTGTTCTTAGGGGGAGAGGGGGGTGGCTGAATTTGCCTTTGAAAACTGATGTTAATGTTCCAAGACTTTTGGCAGTGATTGTATAAAGCTTGCATACAGAGAAAAAATTAATGAATGTAGTACACAATCTCATTGATTGTGATTATTGAGGTGCATGATCAGATTGATTGTGACGTTTGAAGTGCGTGATCCATTGCACGAAAAAACTATCATTCTTCGTACATAACTCTATTGCGCAGAAAGTGTGCTTTGGAGGAATTGCTCAAGCCAATTTCAGATTACTTCCGTAACTAGATGTGGATTGAAAACACGGGAACTTCTTTGTGACAGTAGGAGTGTAGTCTTGCCTTCATGCAAACAAAATATGCCATTTTTCAGTGCATCCATTCTCTATTTTTTGTTCATGGTGCTGCCTTGGAGAAGCAATGCAGTTACAGATTGTAAGTTCTTTTTCATATACTGAGCTCCAATGTTTTTTAGTGATCACAAATGCCAAAGGAATGTCTTCAAATCCGTACGCAGATATGATTCAGCTTGCTTAAACTTGAATAAAACTTACTTTGCTTTCTAACTGAATTCGAAAAACGTTTATATCACTTATGTTGTAAATGTTGCTAGCAATATAGGTAAGAAACAAAACCTTTTCATGAGTTGCGCTACAAAAGTAGAAAGCTTTATCGGTTTTGATTTGATAAGCCCGACTACAAAATATTTGCAATTATGATTCGCAAACAAACTCCCCTTTGATTTTCCTTTAGTAACCTTCGATTAACTTCATCTATAAAACCTATTTCAATTCAGCACATCACAAAACCACAGTTTTTCATAATTAGGAATTAGAGCACGCGCCCCCTATCATGAACCATTCAGCAATTTGTCAAGAACTTTGTTTGTGTTCGCAAAGGAATATCTGTAGTTTATAGAAGAGCAAGAAATTTCAAAGGAACAAATCAGTATTTAAAGGAAGATATACGCAGAAAAAATTTAGATTCTTAACATCTCTTTAGATTTTTAAGATATTAATTATCAGTCCTATTGCGAATTTTACTGTTCATCACAGATACGGATTTCTGATGATTATGATTATCCAATGTTCGAATTGAATACGGATCCTGGCTTTTCTCTGACCAACTTATTTAAATCTGTAAACGTGATGTCTCTCTGCATTTGAAAAAATTGCGCATGTGCTTGATGGCGTCATAATTTTAATTTTAACCTGTTGTTGGAACATTTGCAAGTTGTATCCCCCCTAAGAGTCACCACGCAAGACCCCCCCGCATAAGCTCAAGAAGGAAAGGAAGCACAAATTCACACGCTGCAAGAAGGTAGATTATGCATCTAGGTAGCCTGACAGAGTCAGGAAAACATCACGGTCAGCCAGCCACTGGCCGGAGTAAGCTTGTAGAATCATAAGAAAATTGATGAAAGAAAGTTGGAATAAGAAAAATCCTATTGCTTATTGGCTTTCAAAATGAAGTCAGGAAAAATTTAAAAATCAAAGAACATTGAAAAACCTGTTGTTGTTTTTTAATCCTAAATTTTTTTACAGAACTGCTTTGCACTGTAAAATTTAGGTGCAAACTTTTTATAATTTACATATTTATATTGTAATTCAAATATCTATAATTGCAAGCAAAATACGATTTTTGGAAATAAGGAAGGTTTTATAGTAAGATATGCTTGGCCGAAAGAAGATTGACAACTTTTTTGGACTCTGCCTTCTCCCAGAAGATAAAAATTGAGGAAGCCAAAATGTAGGGACTCTTGCTAAGTCTGCGCAAGGACGCTTAATTTCTGGTATCCAGTACCTATAATCCTCTAGAGGGAATCATCTCTATTGTGCAATCTTTTTTCTTTGACACAAAAGCTTTCAATGGCTTTTAATAGCTCGTAGACAACAATTCTTGCAAGGATACCGAGGTGATTCAAAGACATCCCCAGAGGTGTATGATGAAAAAGAATCGTTATTGCCTTCGTGCCTTTGAATTGATTCGATGATTCGTGCCTTCAAATTGTGAAAAGACGTCTCACTTACAATGAAGAAAATGGGAAAATAAAAGACAAAATAAGACAATAGAAGCTTTCCTCGACAATTGCAAAACAAGATATATGGATTTGAAAAAAATCACTCAAGAGGGTACTTACCTTCCCAAATGTATAAATCTTTTCTTGGTCAGGATCTTTGAGTGCCTCTTTCGGTTTCGATTTGCCTTCTTGAGGTCTACACTGTCCCTTTAAAAGCAAACCAAATCTAGGTCACAATTATGCCAAACTAACCTAGATCTCATACTCGTCTTGAGAAAACTCTAAAAACAGAGCAAGCTTTTCTTTTTTTTACAGATTTTCTTGATTTTTATACCCTTTTCCAGAATGTTGATGCATATCAAAATTCCCTGTCCCAAAGTTCTGCGGCACACGGCACATCCCGTTTTACAAGTATGGGAGTGCCCCACCCCCGGGGTAGGGCTGCTGAACCATCTTCCCTCCCCGACAAAAAAAAGCACCGTTCTATTTTTCCTATCTACGGATTCCATATCAACACCACAGTCCAAATTATGTAAAATCTTTTCTATTTTTACACGAAAGTTTCTTCTGTCCCTTTTCTTGGTATTTCGAATTTGTCAAATCGAAGAAAAGTGCATCTGTTCTTTCCCTCAGAATTGGATTTGAGCTTCTGAAGCAGAACGCACATGCTATTTAGGATTTCAATTCGCATTAACAGTGATTAAAATTTTGAGATTCTAATTTTAGATTTTAGAATAACAATTTGCTACTCTTCATAATGTCATTTTTGCTTTATAGCTCATGCCCAAATTATGACTAAAACATTGAGCCGCATTTTAATGGAGTTTTTTTATTATTTCAATGGAAATTGTTTTGAATGTGTGATATTAACTTACATAAACTTATGTAAAGAATCAGCTATAATTTCAGCTCTTTCGTGAATTTATGAATCCCTATGAAACTTTAACTGTGTACTCCTATAAACTCGAATTTAATTGTATGCTCGAATTCCTATGAACATAAAAGCAATACGATAATTAGTCATAAATTCAAAGATCAATGAAACATTTTTGTTGGTTTTAGTTGACTTATCTGCAAAAAACCTGCAGAAGTTCTTGTTTACCTGCACATCACGCCACTGCCTGATTTGTCTCTCTACGACTTTCGGCGCATTTCTCCGTCAGTGAAATGGGTCACTTTTGGCTTTTTGTTCAAATAGGCCTGTATTTTCTGGTCATGTTTTATCTTCAAGATTGCCCCGAATTACTCGTATGTGTGGCCATTTAGCTTTCAAAGGTATTTTTACTATGAAACTGTAATGTCGCGCTTATGAACATGTCCTGGTCCTTCAACTTGATGTTACTCATCTCATCATTCTATGCCGAGGATTTTAAGAATGTCAAAGCGAGCTATACTCTCCTATCACTCTTGGTGAAGTTTGGTAATGACAGAGACTAGAACACCTATCTTTTGGATCCACTCCTATCAATTTAATTTTGAATTAAGTTACTGTTTTTCGACGTTTTGCAATGAAATTTTACTCAGGTATCGTTTTCCAGTTTGCAGCCAGCCCCTTGGAATGGAAACAAAAATTATTGCAGATGATCAAATAACAGAATCATCCCACATCCCTGGCTTGAATAGAAGCAAAGGCTTTAATGCACGCCTTGACAACACAGAGTGCTGGTGTGCTGATCAAAGTCAACCAAGAATTGGACAGTGGGTTAAAGTGGATTTGAAGCATACTTTTAGCATAACAGGCATCACCATCCAAGGAGACCCTCAAAATGTTGCAAATTACATAAAGCAGTTCATGCTGAGGTACAGTGTTGATCTGACCAACCATGTCTATGTGACAACAGCCACCTCTGGCGCTTCTATGGTAAATTATCTAAATTTCTGGTGTTACTCTTTCGACGGGACATTGAATTAAATTCACATAAATGTGTCATGAAACGTTTTGTATTTTTCCAACTTTTCTCCAAAAAAACATTTCCTTCCAATTTTCTGATGAAACTTATCCTGATAGTTGCAAGCTATTTGAAATATTTGAAAGTTGTAGGCATTTTGGTTTTCATGAAATATATCTCAGTTTTGGTATCGCAGGTTCAGTAGCTAACAAAGTGTGATCAAAATTTACCGAATCATAATTTTAGCTTTTCATTACATTTTTAGTAAAGAAACTTGGTGGTTTTTGGATCGCCACCTTTGTTATAGTCAGTGCTATTTTCATTAATTATCATCAATTTCTTTGAAAGTTGGCTAACAAAATACAGTAGCTATAATGAGAGCTATTTTAGCCCAACTAAAAAATTACAATATAAATGTAGTTAAAAGTTATAAACAGCAGTCAAAATAGTAAATACAGTATATATTACAATTAATCATTTTCAGTATAAAAAAACATTAACATCAAGTGAATCCTAAGTTTTGGATAAATACTTGACATATGCGACAGTGGCAGGTTTATCCAGACGAAGGTTTGATTCTGTTTTTAAACTCTAACGTGAAAGATAGTAGAATATTTCATTAATTTTGGGACGGTAGCCCAGACCTGTGGGCCTCTGAAGCGAATGGTCTCTGAGCCATGTGAAACAGTCTTAATTCTAGGAAAAATCGTTAGAAAGCATTTAGTTTCATCATTGCTACTGTTTTTACTGATTGACTACGATTAACTTTTTCACAATAGGAAATATTAATTTACTCAATTTTGTTCTTTTACAGCTTTTTATAGCAGCTACTGGTCCCAGCCAGAATAAAGATGTGATGTTTCCCAATCGACCCTTTTCTGCACGATATCTTGAATTTATGCCTACAGACTCAAATGGTGCTTATTTGTGTGTAAGATTTGAACTCTATGGATGCCTCTATGGTATGTATTTGAAATCAATCCAGCTACCTGAGTGTGTCTCAATAGAACAATGTGCTGTCGCATCTGTATTATTTATAGTCTCACCTTTCACCTCTTTGTTATGCTAGGCCTCAGACCCAGGCTGTGGCTTTGATAAGGTAGCATTTCCCTCCCTTAAAGCACCAGATATGTTAGGAAACTTCAGAAAGTTCAGTACTTTATTAGATTTTTCAATAATTATTAGCCGCATAACAAACTGAATCTTTTATCTGATGATCTTTCATTTGATTCAGTTGTGGATCAAAACTGGGCATCTATGCTTCCTGGCGTAGAGCTCTCAATCTATGTATTGAAGTTTTTGCTAAGATTTGAATTCTGTACTACAAAAATATTGATTAAAAATGAAGCTCCTACTGCATCATTCTTTTAACCACGATGTCTAATGTGGTCGATGGTGGTCTTTATTTTTTTAAAAGAATGTTCCATACCACTGTAGACAGTGTAGTTACCAATGATCTCTAAAAAACAATGGCCACACAACTTCTTAGTGCGACTTCTTAGGCATTTGACACAGGTAAAAGTGCATTACAACCACTCGAGCACGAGCGCTGGACCAATCAAATTGCGCACATAGAAAAACACGTGAACAGTTTCCTATGCTTTCCTATCTTTTATATTCTTTCTCATTATTAAGAATTTTTCCAGTGGCTAAGTGCTTCTTCCTCTGGCACATGAAATCCACCTATTGTGTTTTTGACGTTCATCACCAAAAGGAGCATCATGTCAAAATTTGTCTTTGAAGAATTCTCTAGTTGATTTGAGTCTTGGCCTTCTATTTTACAGTCTGTGGACAGGGCCTTGGCATTGAGCATGGCAGTGCGCTTCCTTCAGGTTTTGCAATGACGTCATCTTCACAATCCTCTGGACAAGGAGCGGTATCAGGTCGTTTAAACAATCCATCTGCCGCTTGGTGTGCCTCGGGAACCACTAGCGAGTTTCTGCAAGTAGATTTTGGGAAAATCGTTACCGTCAGTGGAATTGCAACTCAAGGTAGCCCTAGCTCTGCATCTTGGGTCAAATCTTTCTATGTTGACTATGGAACAACACTCAGCTCTCTTGTCACCTACCAAGAAAATACTGGGAATAAGGTCAGTTAAAACATGATTTAGTTTCGGAGCCCTTTCTATTATGGTTTTGATTTGCTTTTGTTAGCACTGAGGAAATTTTACTTTACTAGTGCTCCTAGCAGCACTTGAAACATGCTTGAGCATTCGTAGAAACATAGTGTGGAAATTGAATGCAATTGTACATTTACTCAACGTCGAGGATTAGGAATTAGTTGTTAGCATCATGGCCCTTTATCTTCATTAGCCACAAAAGATTGTCTTGGTCGAAGCTTAATGCGATCATGTCTTCATACTTTCTACCAACTCTTTTTAGCTTTTCATTGGAAACTCTGATCAGAACACGATTGTTGTGAACTGGTTCCGTGTGCGGCTGCAAACGAGATACGTGAAAATAAAACCGAACACGTACAATTCAGGTGTCTGTATGCGAATTGAGATTCTTGGCTGCCACTCAGGTAACAATTTATCTTTCAAAGTTACACATTAATAGGAATTACAGCCATTTTCAGTCCAACTGGTGATCAATTGCCACACGTAGTTCATGCGCAAAATTAAAGTATTTTGAGGAACCTGAGCTAAGGATTAAGATCAGGGAGACAGATAGCGAGATGGGTGCATAGGGGTGTAGCAACTTTTTACCATATCGTCATGAGTTGGTCGGTAAATCTTCAGTTGGTATAATATTCGTAATATCAGATATTTATTCCGAATCACTGACTCTTTTATCTCAAGCGCATCTTAATTTCATAAAATAACAACCAAGATATATTCGTGCTATGATTTAGTTCATCGGCCAGTGTTGGTGGATATGGATGCTACAATATCGGTATCAAGAAGAAACCAATCGATTTTCACATCTACCCTCACCATGTTGTCTTTAGTGACCAAATAACGATGTCTAGATGGAGAATAGTTGGTTTTCTTGGCAGCCAAAAGATATACTAACATTATCCATTTACTTAATATGCAGATTCCGTATATGAATTCGGTGCTGAAAACAGAGCTTTGCCAGACAACAGATTCTCGGCTTATGCAACTACAGATTTTCTTGGAATTGGTAGATACAAAGCCAAGGATGGTCGCTTAAACAATGACAGACCATGGGGATGCAGCAGAACGGAAACCTCGTTTCTCTGGTTCAAAGTTGATTTAGGCCGAGTTATGCTGGTAACTGCTATATCCCTTCAGGGGGACAGAAATTACGGCCCGAACTATTTCCCTGACTTCAAATTGCAGTATACTTTGGATTCAGCAAACACGCCAGGGAGTAAGATAACCATCAAAGAAGAATACAACGTAACAGAAAAGGTGAGCTTCAATATATGATTAAGTTTTGATCCTAGTGTGGCGATATACAGAACGATCCAATATGCTGGTGAAATGTACGTTCCACATGGGCTCCAGCACAGGTGGGGAAGGGGGGTAGAGCAGGACAAGGGAAAATTTAGCATCCATAGCAAACGATTTTGAAAAAAGGCCTATTGTTTTACAAAAATGTGAGGGGTGGGAACGGTCACCTTTCCATTGTCATAACTTAGTTAGTTATTGTCATTTCATTCGTTTTCATATCTATTTTTCGTTTGCTTCTTTACAATATCATAGCTTTTATCTTTAAGGTTTTTGTTGGAAACACGAACAATGCCGGTGTCAAGTTCAACCTGTTTGAGAAGCCAGTCTCAGCATGGTCTCAGCCAGATACATTCAATTCATTAAAAACAGCAATGTATTATGGGATAATACGTTGACTCTTGAGGTTTACGGTCGACCTCCAAGTGAGTATTCAATCTCCAGCATTCTAGGCATTGTAATGAGTGTTGATTGGTGCATGAAGTTTTTTAGCGAAATTAACAAACAACTATGAATACAATCGACTTTTTGCGAGTTGTCTGGATAATGCAACTGTATCGTTGGTTTTTAGATTCTCGTTCTGTTTTGAGCATCTAAATATTTTCGAAAAAAGTCAAGAGACAGTTTGCTGCAACTTCATGATTGCAAAATTCAATTTTTATAAAAGGGCTAGAAGTGCACAATTTCAACTAACTGGTATATTTAAAAAGCATTCCTAAATAATACTTACTTTAAGTTCAAACAAAGGTCCTAAATTTTATTTAAGAAACTTTAGAAAGTTCTAGATATAGAATGCGCTACAAGAGGAATTTAAAATATAAAGTTTAATAATCCCAGCACTCGTGATCTTGATTTCATGACGAAATAAAGTCGAAAGTTTATATGCAATTAACAACCGGCTGTTTGAATGTTTCATTCGAAACGATTTTTACGAACAGTTACTTCCTAAGATTTCTTTTTTTCTGACATCTTCAAATGTAAAATACAAGAGAAGCAATATTAAAAATTGTAATTAGAATAAAATAATGGCGGTAAATCCTTTACGGAGCTCAAATGAGACATCCGTATCCATAAAGTTGGAAATAATTCCAAAAATTTCAACTGATGAATTGTGAAATGAAAAATTTTTCAAAATGCATTAAACATATTGCCGTACTAAGGTCATCCTTCTTCTAGAGTAATCCTTACAATAGGGTCACTTTACCTCTCTGTAAACAAGCTGTTATGGTTGAACTGTGGAAGAGGTTTTAATAAAATCTGGACCTACATTTCATTTCAACATGTTAGAATTATCAAATTGGGCAATTTAGATTTATTATTTGATTTTATGTATGTATTTCGTAAAGAATATCGGTGTTCACTTGCGCTGCGCTAATGATTGCAAAAGTGCACAGCACTGTGAACCTGGAATGCAGAGGAAGGAATGCAAGTAGCTACTTTGACGGTTCTACCCTAAGTATCACAACACTTTTAATACCAACATAAAGAAACTGTTCCATCCTTTTTGGACTCAAAGTCCTTTTTGGACTCAAAAAGTTACAGTCTATTTTTGTTGTAGTGTGCAGTTTCAGTTTTGGCATGGTATCTGGGGAGCCAAGCACGAATAACCCGACAGTGAATGCCTCTAGTGGAACTATACCTGATAAGCGAAGCAAACTAAACAATCCTGACTCATGGTGCGCAACGACATCTGATACGAACCAGTTTTTTCAATATGACTTTGGCATGGCAAAGGTGATCAGTGGATTTGCAATACAAGGAGATCCTGTATTTGAGAAATGGGTTGAAACTTTCAAAGTTCAATTTGGGGATGACGTGTCATCCCTGTCGACCTACCAGGAAGCAGGGAGCGATAAGGTATCATTTTCAACGCATTTTACACGTGCTTACATTTTCCTGCAAAGTATTCCAATTTTATCAGAGGAAGAGTCTGCTTTTTGAATCTTTTCGTTTTGTTTCATTTTCCAGATTTTCACTGGTTGCAAATCACGTGATGGAATTGTTTATCATTGGCTCTCATCCATTTTAAAAGTACAGTTCCTAAGAATAGTTCCGTTGAGTTGGAAAACTGCGATTTGTTTACGGATGAATGCCTATGGTTGCCCAGATTCAGGTACTGATCCATTACCAACGATTTTTTATGCTGATTCATATTGATAATGCTGTCTTCAAATTCAAACTGATCATGTAGCACTTTGCCTCATTTTTCAATTTCTTCTCAGAATGCCGTGATGTTATTGGCATTCAATCTTCAAGCTCAATTTCCGATGCCTCGATGACATCGTCAACATCTGCTAATGGAAATGGAGCCCACAAAGGGAGGTTTAACGTAGAATCTGTTTGGGAAGCTTGCCAGTTCGGTTCATGTTTCCCGAAAGAATCAACTGGAGCCAAACCATGGATTCAAGCATGTTTAACAACTGTACAGACAATCAGTTCGATTGTGATTCAGGGTCAGGGCAATGTTGATAACTTGGCAAAAGCGACAGAATTCTCGCTAAAGTATTCTACCGTCGTTTCTGGTACATTTTTCGGATACAAGAACAGCAATTTATTACAGGTGAGTTTAATTGTTTTTTTCATTACACATTATTTCGAAATTCAATTTTTCTTCCCTTGTTGCATAAAGTGACTATATTTTTTTTAATTAAAAAAAACGTTCTCATTAATGTCTTATGTGGCCAATTCCCCGGTAAATAAATGGTTATCTAATGCTTGCAAGAATGATAGGTTAATGCTAAATGACAGATTATGTGAAAATGTTAAAAGCTTTGCTGATCCAGTGTTGTTATTTTGTGATTACACTTCCCTTTAATATTGGTAGAAAATGATAAAAGGATCTCTCTCTTTTGATGTGATTTTTCCTTTTGTTTATAGAAATTTGCAGGTGCCGATGGTCGTTACTCGTCATCACAGATAGATCTACCACATACAATAATAGCCCGTTGTATTCGCTTGCAAGTCGAAACTCAGTTTCCAAATAACCTTAATGTTGGACTGCGTTGGGAAATGCTTGGATGTGTCTCAGGTATCCATACTAATATTAAGCCACTCTTTAGTTACTGATGCAAGAATATTGCTGCTCTTTAAATCAACTTGCCTTCTGACGTAAGAATTACTTTTCTGGTCTGAATCAATCATTATACTGAATCATTTTCCATTACACAAAAACACACAATCTAAGCCAAAAATTCCCAGGAGCCGGCTATGTTTGATTCATGTATACTATCTGAAGTATCAGGAAAACCCTGGCATAATACGATGATATTGAAGCATGACTTTAGTATCTTTCATATCAGGTGTTTTTCTTTTTTGGTATACCTTTTTTCATAGTTTGCAAATGAGAGGTATCCGTACGATGAATTAGTTATCTGACTGCTTACTCACGGGAAATTGATTGTTGGTTCAACTTTTGATAATTCACAAATTACTTTTGTTGTTGTAAAATTATATTCAGATTCATATTTAGGTTCACCAGGAGGTCAAAGACTTGAAAATTAGCTAAATCGTCTGATTATGTTATGTAGTGGCTCCTAATTTAGTCTAGTATATAAAATATCACTTCAAACAGAATCTAACTCCTATTACAAGTATTACCATACAAATAGCTACTGTTTACCATTAGCTACTGAAACGGGCCGACAGTTCACTGTTCAGCATAAAGAAAAAATGTGATCGATGCCCACTCTTGTCTAAAACGCAATTTAAAGCAGAATATAAATCCTACAAACACTAGTAGCAACAACCAAAATGTTATGATATATGGCCCTAAGTATGGAACTTTTCTTATCCTGACGGGATAACGGAGCGATATTACCTAACCTGATAAGCTTAGCTTAGGTTCTAGTGAGCTTTTAGGTTACAACTTCGCTCGAGACAATAGAAAGCTATTTTGAAAAGCAGCGGTGCTTTATTCAGTGGTAGCATTGATAAGGCATCGGCCCGGAAGTCCTTGTATGCGATACCTCTTGCAGTTTTGAACATAAAATCTAACTCAGATTTTAAGCATTATCAGATTTAGTTCTCACAAAAGCGCCATAATTGAAGCAAAGTTACTGAATTTCAGTTGCCGAAGTGTCTTCGATCTCCATTGCACCGTCAAGCCCGTCCTTTGCAAGAAATGGCGAATTAACATTGACATGCAAGGTAGCAGCGCAGCCTGGCGTTGAAGCAGTTTGGAAAAACAGAAGCAACACTTTGACATCCACTGGCTTTTATCAAGTTGGAAACAATGCCGTAACAAATGAAAATATAAATGGAGAAACGACCAAAACTTTGAAGATTACTGCCACACCAAACTCTGTTATTTACTCGTTTGAAAATTGTACTGTCACCGATTCTGCGCAAGGGTTTGTTCAATGCAAACACACATTTGGATGTTCAGCTATGTATCCTGGGATATCGAGCACTTCAAAAAGTAGCAATGTGAATGTTACTGTAACAGGACTCCTGGGTAGGTAGGGCCTAAATATAAAAAATTCGCTCAATACTCTCTATAAAATCGCGTTTCCTTTCAAACATATTGTTTATAAGTGAGTAGTTGAAAAAGCTAAGATGGCAACATTAGGCAAAGGATATCAAACAGACATTTGATATGGATATTGGTAAGGAGATTTATTTTGTTATCACTAGCTTTACTTTGATGTCACAGTCACTTTGATGGCAATCTTGATTTTGCAGCTAAACCCTCGACACCAAGCGGCATGGTAACAAGCTCACTTACCAATACAACTGCATTAGTAACATGGAATGCTTCAGTCTCGGATTTTCCTACTGAAAGCTACAATGTAGTTCTTAAGAAAAAGTCTGATGGCTCAAAACAGGAAACAAAGAATAACTTGAAGACAACAGTAGCCTCGTTTACGGGTCTAAGTGCTTACACCGACTACAGGATCGAGGTTTCTGCAAGATCATCGCCTCACAATATAAATTCAGATACGGGAACCTTTGACTTTAAAACAGACGAAGGAGGTACCAAGATTATTTTATCACCGTTTGTTTTGTTTCAAACTAAAAGTTGTTTCAAACTTGCTGTAATTGTAAAATTCAGGAAGCCCAAACATTATTTCATGCCGTAGTTATGTTATGAAACTACTTTCAGTGTTTGTAATCCAACATAGCACCACCTTCCATAGCTTGGATAGAAAAATTTTATTTTGGCCAAAAGACCATTTAGAAAAGGTTCTAGAGGGACAGCGAGTCCCTCTGGAAAGTTTTAAATAAAATTCTATGTGTTACAGAATTACATTTTTAGTCATTTAACTTCTTAAGATGACATTTTATAGAAGGCCAAACAGTTCACTTTTCACTTTCCGTTTCCACTTTAACGTAAAAATCTTCTTTTGGACCTAAGGTAATTTATTTTTATGATAAATCGTTCTAAAGCAGATCAAAAAAGTCTTTTTAATCATTTAATATGTTTTGTTTCAAAAAACAGTGATAATTATGCGGGTATGCAATATTTCAACCATCCTGACATTGCGATTGTCGAAGTGAAACAACCTATGTTTATTTTATATGGTAGAGGGGATCTTTTTTATGTTTTAGTTAACGTTTTTCTCTATAGTGCCCGATGCTCCATCGAATGTTTCTGCAGTTGCACTTTCATCAACGACAGTTCAAGTCTCGTGGTTTGAACCTGTGTCTCTTCGAGGAATCCTGTATGGCTATAAAGTTAAATACAAAATGGTCTCTGCAAGTAGTTACTTCAGCACCATCTCTACAGGGACTAACACGACGTTGACTATTTCATTTCTGCAGCCATCCAAAGATTACCAATTTCAGGTAATACTAATTGCAGCTTATCAGCACATTTGAACTTGGTAACTGTCTGACAAGGTATTTTTAACATTGCGCCAAAAATGTTCATTAGCCCAATAAAATGATTTTTCTTTCTATGTTATATTATGTTTTTTATATTAACAGGTAATAATCGTATCAGGCATGAAATTAAAACGGGTTACAATGCGTTATTGTTAGGTTTTGTTCAGACGTCCTTTGAGTATTGGATTATTTTTTGCCATGTGTCAAACTCAAGGCCCGCGGCCACATCCGGCTCGGCGTGTAATTCCAATTGACCCGCGAGATAAATCTATATCATTGTTTTTATATAGTATGTTCAATAAATGTTTATCCTATTCGGCCTAAAGTGTGTTTTATTTGGCCCCTTGTGCAATTGATTTTGACACCCCTGTTTTTTGTGTAGGTTGCAGCGACAACAAAGGGTGGAACAAATTTTGGGCAATGGAGCTCTGTGGCGGCAGTGAAAACACACAAAGAAGGTATCACAATTTTTTTTCTGAATCTTTGTCAAGAAAAGAAAATTCATCAAACATATCAAAGTCACTTTTATCAAATTTAGTCAAGGCTCTTAGGGCTGAAATTTTGTAGAAGCTCTAAAAGCTCTGATACCTTGCTCGGGTGTGTATCAACACTTTAAACCAATGTGCAGAAATTCTTGACATAAATTTAATTTGACATTTTTGACACGAAGGGGTGCCATTTTTCCACGTTTGCAGCTATAAACATTTTGCTTTTACTCCTCCTTTCAGTTAAATCATGAAAACGCCTGAGAATATTGTTGTGTGAACTTTGTTTTTTATTGGGTTGAAAACCGTAGAGGCCGTAATGCATTTATTCTAAGATCTCATTTAAAGATTCTTGCGGTCAAATTAGAACGGTAAATGACATTTCATGAGCCCTTTTCCGTAACATCTGTCTTATGTTTTTTTTAATTTTTCTTACAAGTATGGAATGATGTCTTTTGTTTCGTTTTAGATGGACCACCGAATTTAGCTGCACGTGAAACCAGATCGATTGCTATTATTGTCGGCGTCATAGTGGCAGCAATCATCTTCCTTGCCGTTGCTGTTTAAATTAAGAGAAGCTTTGGAAGGTTTTTCTGCTTTTTATAATCGTTGCTTTTATAAAGTATTTATTATCTCAAAGTATCCTTGTACATATTTACAAAGAAGTATTAAACTAACAGTTTTCAAGCTGAAATTGTTTTTGAAGAGCTTAAATTTAAACAAACAATACTAAAATTCATTGATTGCAGTAACGTTGGGAAATGCTGCAAAATTTACTCGGCAGATAAGAACAACAACAGATCTTATTCTGAGGAAAATTTCCAGCTCCACAAATGATCGTTATGTTTTTTAAGGATATTCACCCTTTAAGACTTGTTTTTATCGGAACAAATGAAAAACAATCCAGTTAAAATTTTCTTCAAATTGCTAGATGCGTTAGGAGTTCTGACGAAAGTTCCAGATCCGGGAAAAATCCAGCCTAGAATAAGCTCTAAACCAACACCGCCCAGCCCCCCCCCTCCAAAAAAAAGTTTTCTGAAACCGGGCCTAGATTAAGGTAAAGAGAAGAGTAGTAAATTCGAACGTATCTTTCACTAATCCTACAAAGATTATGTCTGGTCCACTGGCCTGTTTAGCTCTCTTTGTCTTATAGTGATGTGTCGACTGGTTTGGCCACTTATTTATGTAAGAGAATAATAACTTGGTTCGGTTTAGATTTCTTCTGTATTGGGATCATTAAAATTTGGTGTAATTTTATATTGAAAAGTCAATCTTATAAATTTCAAAAAGTAAATTCCCGCTATTGAGTAACCTCTACCCTAGAACAGCTTGTTTTAGGAGAAAGTGCTCAAAAGAATTAGAGAACGAGAAACAAAATTAGATTGTAGTTATATAACTACAAGATACTGTACAAATGCAAACTGCAAACTGCACAAAAAACCTCGTAAACCTGTTTTCGAAAATGATCACAATTTGAGATATATTTTGAGTAATCACGGGGTAATGGACATTGTTTTAATGTATCATCATGGATTTTCACCCATAAGAAGTTTCTACCAAATTTTAGCGACTTTCCAAAATGTATTAGCTTTTTTGAACGGAGATAGACAGGTCAGTCTTTTGGAAAACCTGTTCCAAAATTATAAGATAAAATAAATTGTATAAAATCAGAGAATACTAAAAAATGTTCCACCATATTATCATGGATTTTCACCCTGAAGACACCTCAACCAAATACTACGAATTTTCTCAAATGTATAGGCTTGTTTTTTAATTCAAACAGACTGACGATGCTTTTGGAAAACTTCTTCCTTAATTATAATCAACAATGCAAGATTTGAAATTGGCTTTGAAATAAAAAAAAATTTTACAGCATACTATGATACATTGCTTTCTGTATACAATATTTGACGGTGAACATTGCTCTAATAATTGTCACGAATTTTGATATATAAGAAACTTCCACCCAATATTACTTATTCAAACAACTGTATAGGCATGATTTTGAAACGAAATAGTCAGATCAATCTAATTATTATTTTTTCCCTCATTTCAATGCGAGATACATTTTAAGAATAGTGAACATGGTTCTAATCCCTTTTTATGAAGTATGGCCTTAGTTATATTCAAAAAGGAGAAATTCTCAAGGTTTGTACGCCAAGAGTTGTGTTCATGGCATTTTGCCTTTTACTGACTTAAAAAATGCTTTCGTTCTCTGTTCTGAAAGAAAGGCTCTTGCGAGCCATCTTAATTTAGAGTCTCACCGTGTGTTGTCAAGTCAGTGTATTAATAAGGGGTTGGCTCCGAATTTCAGCTTATACAAGAATGAGTTGCTCTGATTATATCGCACTACTTATACAAAATGATAAAAAAAGCTAAACAAATATTTTATAAAATGTGCGTATAACACAGATATTTTGATACAAAATATGTTCATAGTTTTATAATTCATTCACGCAAAAGTGCTGCAATATTCTCGTTGCTGGAAAATATCGCTGTAGCGGTAACAGCTCTTATTCATACATGTTTTCATAAGTACCATACGAGTTGACGACAGCTTGAGCAGCAGTGTAGCAAAACTTGTACTGAACCTAGGCCAAAGGAGAATCGATAAAACTTTAGGAAATATGAACAGTATTTCAAATAGGGCATCAAATTTTTGCCGCGAAAGATAGTGAAAATTACCTGTGGGCTGTTGATATTGGTAACTACAATGTATTTTAATCAGCCCAGTTTCTATTTGCATTACTCCGTATCTTCAAAAAAAGCGTTCAAAATGCATAATTTAATTTAAATTTAATTGTGTGTACAGCAATTAGATTTTCTATCCATGAGCACCAAACAAAGTTAGAATGAAACAAAGTGAGGACAGGATCATATAAGATTGAAAACTGCCCTCGCTCATAATTTTCTTTTTCCACATTGATATATATCCTTCTTTCTAGATTAGGAAAATACGAATAAAAAAAGGATTATAGAGAGAACGGAAACTTTAAAAAGAAGATAAACAAGAGCAAAGAAATTCCGTGAAATTCCGTCTTGGAAAGAACTAGCTGATTTCACAAATTTAGAAATAATTGATCATAATTTTCATGACATATCGTAAATAATCAAAAGTCTATAACTATGTCTTATGACGTCATAACTTTGCCACCTAACCATTTAAATATGCTTCTGTATAAGCAATTGTCAATTGTCTTCGTCTAATAGCCAGAAATGTAAAAAATTTACTTACAGCATTATCCACAAACTCAGGTCGAAAACCTCTGATCAGTTTGATTGTTTCAAAGAAATCTATAACTTGTTCTGCCTTGAACCGTTCCAGAATGAGTGAAATAGCGATAAATGTGCCAGAGCGACCAGCACCATCTCTTTAAGACAATTAAAAATATAAAATTATATCTTCTTTTACACTCTCTTATCTCGGTAGGATATCGAAAGACATTTCAGCTGACAATGCCTTCTAAGAATCATTCAAACGTAGCAGCCTCAAAACTTTACTTTTTTATCGAAATAAAGAAATTCTTATAATACTCTCCATTGTTTGATGAGGGTTGCTGCTTCGGAAAAGGTAAAGATATTTGCCTTATTGTCAATCAAAGGACAGCGGAATCACCCATGTGACTGAAAGCACTGAAAGGCATTTTTTAAACACCTTAGAAGATTTTAGACACATTAACAAAAGATATTGAAAATTCCAGATAACTTTATTATGCTTCTAATTAAAACCGAAGCGGGATTTCCCACATCATTCAAACAAGTCCAACTAATGACTCAGTTCAACTTTGCAGTCATAACTAAAAATTAAGTTTTTATACAACGATAGAAAAAACATATTCTTCTTTTTTTCCGCGTGAGCTGGAAGTTTTAAAAATTACTTGAAATGAAAGGCGGGGAAAAGGTTGAAATCAGTTATTTTGAAAAAATTTGATTTTACACCTGCTATATTTATTACCTGCAGATGATTACAACTGGTCTGTCATCAGACTGATTTTGTTTATGTGTTTCAACTTTGTTTAGCAGCGATATAAATTTGTCCAAGTCTTTTGGAACGCCATGATCAGTCCAACCCTCAAACTGGAGCATTGTCAGATTTCTCCATTTCTCTGCTGACTGTTAAATTAAATTCATACCAATAATAAAAAGCATTTATGCACAATTCTTCGTTAAAAATTTCAGGTAACAAATAATTGAAAAAATAATTGCAAAATATTATATAATCAGATAATCAACAGAAGATAAACAAAAACTAATGGAATTTTTGTCAATTAAACTTGCAAATCTATACAGACAAATATTTATAAAAGAAGAGCATGGTTGTAGTAAAGTACCCCAAATCTTTGCACAATCTCTAGACTGTCAGAGATGTAATGACTCTTGGGGTCCTTATCCATCCAATTCATCCTTTTACAATATCTTTCTACATGCTTTTTTAGCCCATTTTCCCCTCCTCTGCTCATATACAGTCAAATATCATAGCTACGAAATCAACTTACGTCAACATTCCTGACAGTAAACATCCGTTCAATGCTGCCACTGTTGCTCTCCTCTGATTGGTGGTTTACTAAAACACCGCCATATTCCCGAGCTGTGTGCAGTGGAGGCCAAAAGATGGGAAGGTCCTAAAGAATAACATTATCGAAAGATGCAAAAAAATAAAATGGACTAGGAAGATGAACGTCAAAACCTTCCGTTAATGGTGAAAAGGGAAAATAAATGACGATTCTGACCATGTCGATACTATTTATATCACGTTAATAGGTTGGAAAATTACGTCAATATTAAAGTAATGTTTTTGGGTACATTTGCCAGCCCAATACATTATCCTAGCTAATGAATACAACACCAATCAAATTTTTGATTATTCCAAGTTCCTAAGCTGGAAAACGTATGCTACCTATGCAAGACATACATCAAAGTGAATAAGCAAAGGGTAAGTTAGCATTTCTTGAAAAGGAAAAGGATAACATAACAAGAAAATGTGTTGGCTGCCAAGAAACCTATTGGCAAAAAATGCAATCTGAAAATCTCATTAAAATCCTCAAACTAACCATGCTTCCATGAATAGTGTTGCTAAGAAGGACCGCCATAGACACTTCTGTCTGCTGAATCATTAGCCAGAAATCGTCAATAGTCTCTGGCAGTGGGTGCTGTGTCGCGATGAAGGCGTTGAGTTTACTATAGCCCTAAAAGAAGAATCAGAATTTGTATAACAAATTAGAAAAATGTCTCTTGTATTTGAGCATGGCTTATTGTAAGAATATCGTCATTAAGAAACAACATGGAACATTTCATGCATGTTTAGTCAGGGAAAGAGGAGAGGGGAGACTCCATTCATTTAGAGTAATGGTGTTTTCCATGTCCATGCTCGTGCTCGGACCTATTTGAGGCTAAACTATCATGCTTTCAGAGAAGCTTAATTACAGAAAGTTTGCGGCGATAGAAGTGAAAGATGTTTATCCTTCAGAATTCAGCTAACCAACTGCAGTTTGTTAAAGTGTCAGCTAACCACATGCTTCCCATTCAACACTAAAAAATATTAAAAGCAGCAATGTTGTGGAGGATGGCATCTCTCATTACCATTCTTTATTCTGTGGCTCAATTGAATACTTTGTTTATGCCTTTTAGCCGGATGGGAAAATTGAACTAAAAATGCTATCTCTGTTACACTCCGAAATCGAAGCTCGACTCTAAGCACCTGACATATATAAATGTCAATCAAAAAACATACATTCTGCCAAATTCTATCATTAAGATATCGGTTCAGGTATATTCATTGGAGTTATGAATTCATCATTTTTGTATGTAATTGTTCATTTTGATTTAACTTTAGTTGGAAGACAAAATATCTTGGTGTTCAAACTGACAATAGTTTGGATTAGAAAAGAGCACATTAAATTGATCTCTAACAAGGTACTAGGGCAATAGGCCTTTTAAATTGCGCAAAGAAATTTCTTCCTCTAAATTCCTTAACTGAAAAGATTTCTAAACTCTTTACGCTGGCATTATTGTACCCCAGCTCCGCTACTGTTGCGCTGTATGGTGCTGTTGTGGCATTACTGAAATCTCAAAACTTCAAAATCTTCAGAACAGAGCTGCTAGGATCGTAACGAATAACAGTTTTGATGTCTCTAGCAAACCCCTTATTAAGAATCTAGGCGGGAAAACAGTCAATGTCATGATTAAACATGATAACAGTAACGATTGTGTATAAATCTTTAAAAAATTCTTGCCTCAAACACTGTTTTTCGGGAAATTAAGCAGGCGTGATGAACATTAACAAGAGAAGACCCTGTAAATTATAGAGGCTTCTTTGTTGGTTGACATTGGGTCTTTAAATAATTGAAATGAAAAATGAAATATTGCTTGAATAGATGATTCTCCTTCCCTCTTTTTAACTGGTCTAGAAACGCTTTTATAGCTGAATTGGATCTGAGTTGGATTTGATGCAAAACTGCTTTAAGAAAATGAATCTTACATTTACGTAAGTGGCATTTATGTAGTCAGAACCACTGTTGTTTTCATAAATTGCCTGCTTCAAAACCACACGATGCACATCATCTGCAAAGAGACGAGAAAACATTAGGTATACCCGATGATAATCAATTGCTTGCATCATAATATTGCCAATAAATACTTTTGACGAGGAACCAATAAACCCTTTTAAAATGCAGATCAGATAAGGTTGCTAAATGTATGGCTTAAAACAAAGTGATGATGTTCAATTGTTATAAATCAGTTAAAACTTTATATAGACAGTCTATTAAGAGGCTTGAGAGAGGCCGGAGGTGTTAAAGAACTACGCTGGTTTACCTTGGCTGATAGAATTAAAAACGAAGTAATAATACAGAAATTTATGAGCAAAAGAGCTTTTGCATATGTAGTTATCGCTTATTGTAGCTAGATCGATGATATAATTATCATATGAAGAATCAAAATCATATTTATCATCATACCTTTTTCTAATATTCTTTTTACCGTTCAAATATATAAACTATGAAAATATGTCAGCAATCTTCTTTCATTGAAGAAAAATGTATAGAAACTCAAAGTGCTCCAGAAAGTCACCAATACATATGGAAAAGTTCTTGCAAGCAAACTCAAAATCATTATTGTGTTGGCTTTCTAACACAGCATCAACTTCTAATCAACGTACTTGGTATGATTTCTGTAATTCTGTTTTTTGTTATGTTGTTTCCTTCACTTCCAGCTCTAGCATTTGCATCATTAAAGAATTTATTTGTCCAGGAAAGTCGCTAAAACAAACAGAAGAATCAAGTGGGAAAGAAAAGAGCTGGATGGAGTCAACCATAGCAATCAACGGGGGAGATCAAAACTAAGCAAAATGTGAAAGCTTTCTTTCGTCCTTTCTCTATAAACCCACTTTCAAATAGAAACACCCCCATTTAAAGAAGAAGATGAAAATAAGCCGCTTTCCATCAATAGCAAGTTTTCAACGACGGATGCTGATATCACATGAATTTTCAGCATCACGCCAGAAGCAAATGACCCATATAAAGAAGACATTCTTACCAGCATTAGATCCCGAGCGTTTATTACACAGTTACAGCAATAGAACTTTTACATTAAAGGAAGTCCCCGATTTACCGTTTGCAAAAATGAAGCAAAACTACAGTAACAAATACTCAAATAGCAAAGAAAGCTTTGAAAGTTAGTCCAGAACAATCCATAACACTTCTCAAAGCTCTTTCTGGTGCTCAAGTCAACTGCCAGAAAAAGGCAGAGTTATAACGGGGATCTTATTTACAGAAGGCCTTATTTTGCATAAGACGGGTCCAACATATAGGTTGAATTATTTTTTATTACCTCAAACTCTTCCTCGAATGAAGTTTTGCCAGTTACACCTTTGGGCTGCATTATGTTCATTCGACGTTTCAATTCCTGGGGTTTAATCGCAGTTTCTTTGCAGCCTATGACTTCAAGCAGCGCATTATATGCAAAAATGTATTGTTCCTGAGAAGAAAACAAGAAAATTTCATTAAAGAAAGCATCTAGCGTTAGAGAAATGGTAAATGTCAAAAAAAATTACAGTGATTAATTCCAAGGAACATCTCTAGTTTTTTTGCTGATTTACAGCCTTTCTGCTGTTAGTTCATTGTTTGTTAATGAAGATAATCATATGTAAAATAGCATGAATTCGTATTACTGTATTTGGAAGCAGAAAATACTTAGAAACTGATTTAGAACGCTTTTTTGTTTCGTATAGTATTTTATAGTATTTTGTATAGTATTGAGGCACTTAGACCAACAATAATATTGGTGTTTGTGCTTAGGTGTAGATGCAGGTTGAGCAGTTGATGCTATAAACACAGCTAGAAAAATCCTTGAAATGCAGCTAATACTATATGCAGACAACAATCAAGAAAAATATGCAGACAACAATCAAGATTTTAAAGCTGTCACTCTCTACTAGATCAATATTGACAATTTTGCATTGCTGTGAACATTTTTGTCAATTTTAACATAAAGCAATAAAAGGAACCACAATATAGAATACTTAAATACTTTTCATCCAAAACTCTTCATTTGAGTTCTTAACATTGGAGTATGTCCAAAGTTAAACAGAATTTTTTTTGCAAATTTAATCTGTAACAAACAGTGAGTCATAAATAAGATACCTTTACTTGAACAAGACCAATCCTTTGACTTCGAATAAAATTGAGATAATTGAAAACGTCAACTTTTTTCTGGGTCTGTGCAAGCTCTATCATTGCATCAATTAGAATGAATGTGCCAGTTTGGCCAATTCCAGCGCTATTTTTGAAGTTGAAAAGGATCATTAGCGTAACAATTCTCGACATTTTTTAGCCATTCATAGAGGAGTGATACTTTTACCTTATTAAAAGAGAAAGCTCGAAAATAAAACTGGGTAATTCGTTAGGTACAGCAATCTTTTCAATATTTAAGCTAACGAATCGTGCAATTGCCAGAAAAATCGGACAAATATCATTTTTTAAGAAAAATTATTTTTCACGCAATAATATTTGTCTAAATGGAAGAAAAAAACTGCAGAAAGCTTTCAGATCCAAAAACAAATATCTTCAATTCTTTCTATAGAAAGTTTCTTGCAGGTAACTAATGAGCCTTTTAAGGAAAAATCACAATTAGGCCATCGGCTTTTTTTAAACAGCCTGTCAAATCTATTTTAATTATTGTCAATTGCTTACCATGTTTTGAAATTGTTAATTGTTTAGTGTTTTTAAATAACGCTACAATGCGGAATAAAATTTGGTAGTGTAACACTTCTAAGTACAAAGGCTTCAGTTGTTACCGAACCGATAGTGAAAGGCTGAAGAAAAACCAGCGTAGAAAGTTTAAGTTGCAATGAAACTCATTTGTGGTATATGCATCATAGAGACAAGTAAAATTAGCATTGAAAACTAAAATGGCACCCATGGTATACCTGCAATGTACTACAACTGGATCATTAATGCTGCAGGGGAATCTCCTGCGAAAAGTGGCCCACATGTTTAGCAGATCATACGTGCGATTAGGTACTCCGCATTCAGGCCAGGTCTTCAAATGGTACTGATAAACCTTTTTCACTTCTGTGCAACCTTCCTGCAATAAAACAAAGAATCCAATGTTTAACTCCACTTTACCATTTAAACATTTCGTATTTAAAACTTTGTCTCAATTATCTAATTGCCAACAACATTGTATATTATATATTATCCCTAGCACTTTAATGGAAAATCGTCAAATTTGATCCCTACCCTTTACTGGAAAAACATCAGATTTTATGTCCACCATTCGAATAGAAAAATATAATATGTTATCCGTACCCTTTGAATGGAAAAACATCTTATTGTGTAGCTGTTTTTATCGTCAATTGACTTTAGGCACACTTTTATCTTTCCATAACTTCTAGAATTAGAATTAGGCCAATACTGTGTGCACATAATCTAAAATATAGAAGCAAATGGTTCATAAATCTAGACACACTTTCAACTAAAAAACTACCAGTTTAAGCTCAGCTAGAACGCACTCTGATAAAGCTTAAAAATAATACAAAAAGCATCTGCGTAACTTCTTACAAATTAATTTTCCTTTTTAACGTATATCCCAGTTCTCTGTAAGATGAAATATTCTACTGTATATGTCAACCCAAATATTTTTCTTTCTATTCGCAATCAGTTATAAATATCGTTATTAAATGCTGGATAACAGTCAAAATTTTTAAGTGATTTCTAAAATATGATTTACTTTCCCCCTCTCGAAAAGTTTTGTCAAAATGATTATGGCTGGCACATGCTTGTCCCATATCATTCTCCAGAAGTCGTAAATCAAAGCTTCAGATGGACCTAAAACGAACGGGTCCCATGTTAGTTGCACCTTTTGCAGTAGAATTGATCAAAACTTTTATGTTGATTATGAAATTTAATCAAGGTGGAAAATGTAAATTTTATGTTCCGTTCAGTTTGTTTTTAAAATTTTACTCTATGCACAAAATTCACTGATATGTGCAAATCTATATTTTGAATTAGTAAGAAAAGTACAAGGAAGTTTAAGGAAATGATTATTGCAAAAAAATTAATGAAGTTGACCCACATAGAAAAACATAACAAGATTGCATGTTTACATGGATTTACTTTAAAAATGGAAAATCATTCCGGCATGGTACCGACATGGTGTAAACAGGGTCCTAATTGATATGAAGTTATAAAGGTCATATTAGTAGCTTGAAAAGAAAACATTTTAGCTTGATTTATCCATAATAGTAAAAACTCTCTTTAGCTGTTTTAGAACTTTGCTATCTTTAAATAACCCTTGCTTGAAAAAGTTTCCTTAACTAACCTTGAGCAGCAATGTATTTGTGATTTCCCGAGTAATCCTGATTGAAAAATATTTCATCAAAATTTGTCACCACAATTTTCAAGCACTTAAGTGGGCAAGAAAGTGAATAAAACATTGTTCAAAAAGGTTAGGATTGTCCCTCATCAACTTGTGAATAATATAACACGCGCCTGTAAATAGATACAGTCATGAAATACCTTAGCTGGCTGAGGTATTCTTGCCCATTTCAAAATAATATTGAGATAACTCTGTTGATATTTCTGAAGCACCACGGTCAGGTGGCAACTAAGCTTTGAGAGGTTTATATACTTATTAAACCTCTTAAAGCTTTTTGAAGGTATGACTATGGAAGAAATGAAACGATTGATTGAAATGAAAAGTTAGGGAAGGCAATAGATTTCGATTTAGTACTCAATTGCCAAAGAGTTAGCACTAGCTCAAGCAAAAAAGAATTCTGGTGATAGTGAAGATCACTTACAGAAATATGGCTTGCATTAAAATAGTCGGAATTTTGATCTTCAGGTAGAGTATTCAGGTGTACTCTTGAATGGTCATCTACAAATAAAGAAAAGCTCATCACGTGCATGGTTAACTCAAGAAATATATTCCAATTTAATACTGCGTAGGTGAGTTAATTAATTTTAAGAACATATAGGCTTCAGTCGTGAAAGAAAGGCTGTTGTTTGGTGATAATGATCTACTATTAGTAACTTCTACCAAGAAGTCTTGTATTCTGATAATCTACTCAGCTATGTGCTTCGCCTTACTCAAAACAAGATCGAGTAATACCAGAACTGTGCAAA